TTCAGGGTCTAGGGTTTAGGGTTCTAAGGTTAGTTTGGTGCTTTAGGGTTGGTGGTTCAGGGTTAGGGGTTCTAAGGTTATTTTGGGGCTGTAGGGTTCAGGGCTCAGGATGCGGTAGGATTTGGGGGCTCTAGGGTTGAGGGTTCAGGGTTGGGGGTAGATGTCGTCTTATTTACTCTCATACCAAGGATTTAGTACTACAGACCCTTTTCGCGAGTTGAACCACGCACCTACATGTTTTACATCGTGTGTATCGAAAGGTGTGCCAGCCATCCACAGCATCCAGCATCCGAAAATGCTGTGTTCTTGCGCTCGAGTCAAGCTCGCAGTATACCTCGGTCGGTGTTTGCCCGGCAGCCTTGCCATGCCCACAACGTAATCAGCACGCGCAAAATAATACCTGGTGCAGCACATCCCCAGTTTGGAACAACTATTTTCAGAATTCGTCCACACCTTCGTCTGAATCAGTCCACGCAGTGCGATTTGAATGTCCATGCCGGATGGTAGGAGTCTAAGTTAGCGCTTTAGGGCTGCGTCAAGCTACTGGCCACGATTTTCGACACTCTATTCACCCTAGACCCTTTGACCCTGAATTGGTAATTACATGTGCTGTGCACCTGACCTTGTCAATGCAACCGCCGTTCTACATTCTCCAATATTCTACACAAAGTTCCGCAGCAAGAATTCTAGTCCGAACTATTTGTTGAGTCGGTTTCTGCGTTGCGCCTGTAGTCGAAGCTGCCTACCGCCAGGCATGGAAATCGCCTTGCCTTTCAACTCTATTTCTGGAGTGGCCCAGAGCGGCATCGCATGTCGTGCCTTGTCAGTGTTCGTAGGGTTTAGTGTTGGCACACGTAGCTTATCTCCAAGACCGTGTTTTGTGGATGCTTGTCACGGTATTTATTGAGTATGATTTTTCATGATGCGGAAGTGGTGGTACAGTGTGTGAGAGTACAGCAGAAAATGAGAAGCCTTTTGCCGCAAACAGCGCCTATCGAAAACCTAAACTCCAAAGCGCCCTACACTCGGCAGCCGGAAAGGCTAAATTTAGGGGTTTAGGGCGGTTTATAAGGTTTAGGGTTTATATGGCGTAGGGTTTAGGGTTAACCCTCAACCCTAAACCTTGCACTCTAAACCCTAAACCCCAAACCCTCCTGAACCTCGGAAGCCTACACCCCTAGACCTGAGCCCCCAAAACCGTAAACCCTATAACCCTTAACCCCTGGACCCTAAACCTAAGGATCTTAGATCCCTCAAAGGAGCCCTTATACGGTTGATGATATACCTGCAATATACCATAATTCCCGTAGTTTGGGGTCCTTAAGCTAATGCCGGATTTATATCATCAACAGTAGGGACCCTTACAAGATCCCTTCAGGGAACCGTAGGAGCCCCAACTCAGGCTCCAAGTCAGTCAAATGGCCCACGTTCCCCTACACCCTAAGCCCTAAGCCCTACAC